GATTGGGGCAGGATGCTGGGTGAGGGCGGCGGAGGGAGGAAGGAGGGAGGGAGAGATGATGATGAGGGAGGGGGGAGACGGACACGCATGAGGGAGGCAGGGAGAAGAAGGCGTGAAGGAGAGACGAGGTGGAGAGAGGATGGACAGGGACGAAGCGGGGAGGAGGGAGGCGCAGAGGAAGCAGAAGGATGTGGGACGTGAGGCGCAAGAAAAGTGCAAGATAGAGAGAGAGAGAGCAACGAGAACGGACAACGAGGGCTGGGAAACACAGATATGCACTCGGGGGCACGCGGAAACCTGGGACAGGAGGGAACGTATGGGGAGGGTCGGCCTTCGAAAAAGGATTTGAGGGAATTCCCTTTTTCCTAACCATCCTGTGGTGTTGGGTCCTCGTTTTGAAGAGACCGCGCCCCGCGTTCCTTCTTTCCTCCTCCCCCTTCTCCCTCCTCCCATCCCTGCCTCATAAGGAGCTCCACCGAAGGCCCTAGTGCCAAGGCCCGCATGCCGCCACCGTGCCATTTCGGCACACCCCTCAAACGTTTCGTGGCCCAATAAGGAGCTCCACCGAAGGCCTCAGTGCCAGGGCCCGCATGCCACCACCTCGCCATTTCGGCACACCCCTCACACGCTTCGTGGCCCCATAGGGAGCTCCACCGAAGGCCTCAGTGCCAGGGCCCGTATGCCGCCACCTCGCCATTTCGGCACACCCCTCACACGCTTCGTGGCCCCATAGGGAGCTCCACCGAAGGCCTCAGTGCCAGGGCCCGCATGCCACCACCTCGCCATTTCGGCACAGCCCTCACACGTTTCGTGGCCCCATAGGGAGCTCCACCGAAAGCCCCAGTGCCAAGGCCCGCATGCCGCCACCTCTCCATTTTGGCACCCCCCTCACACGTTTCGTATGACCCGCTACCCAGGCACAGATTCCGGATGGGCCGCAGGCCGCTACAATTCCACATCCATATGGATACTTCGGCCTGCCAGTCGATGTTTCCACCACTGTACCTGTCTGTTTGGCTGTACGTATACAAAAATATGTGTGTCTGATTTTCTGTATGATTTTCATGCAGCCGAAATGCTGCCACAAGGAACCCTAAATCAGGAACGAGGCCCTCTTTTTCCACAAGTTGAACTTCGATTACCCACGGAAAACCAAAGGAACACCTAGAACAAAAACAACAAAACAACACAATTAAGGACAACTGAGCCCCTCCCCAACGAGAAGGACTCCTTATTCAACGGCCCGACTGTATGGCGTTGCATGTCTGACCATCGTGCATGTAGATTCGCATGCCGACTCGCGTCTCCCACGGAACCGCCACAGGACAGCCCAGGCCACCGCGCGGCGCCACACCACGGGGCAATCGCAAGACAACCATGGGACAACCAAGGGACAACCGCGGGGCAACTCGGGCTACAGTCGGGGCGTTGACCTCAGGAACGATAACTCAGGAACGAAGCCCCGTTGCCACATAAATTAAACTCCGATTTTGCATGGAAAACCTCAGAATATCCAAAGACCTCTGTAAAACAACTAAGAAACACGGAACCCCTCCCAAACGGAAAGGGTTCCTTCTTCAACGGCCCGACTGTACCGCGCGGCGCTGAGGAGGCATGTGCTAGGTAGGCAAGGGCTAGGGGGGGGGGTTCTGGACCCCCCCCCTTTAGTAAATTCAGGGAGATCCACTGGCGCACTTTCATCATCATCATCATCATCATCATCATCATCATCATCATCATCATCATCATCATCATCATCATCATCATCATCATCATCATCATCATCATGAGCATCATCATCATCATCATAATCGTCACCAGCATCAACAACATCATCACCACTACCACCAGCAACGACATTACCATGACCAACATCACCAACACCACCAACATTACCATCACCATTGAACACCTCTCCCAGCAATCACGATGAACGTCATCGGTATGGTGATGGCTATGAACATCATCAGCGTCATCATCAACATCAACGTCACCACCATAATCATCGCCATCAGCATCAGTATCCCCATCATCATCGTCATCATAATCAACGTCATCAGCATCAACAACATCATCAACACCGTCATCATCATCAACAATGTCATCATCAACAAGAGCATTACCTTCAGTACCGTCACCAGCATCACAATCATCACCATCAACATCATCATCTGCATCACAAGCATCCTCGACATCATCCGCATCGACATGTACATGAACATGTCATGATTCGGATCATCGCCATCACCATCACCATCGACAACAGCATCATGACCGTAACCATCATCGAGTTTAAACATGATGCAGGTGTCTTGATTTCTGATGTCATCTCGCAGTGTCAACAACATATACCAGCATCGCTATCATCATCCGCAACATTTGCCTCACGGTCATCATCAACCTCAACGGCATCAACATAAGTACTAGTATAATCAACGCTTAGATTTCGACACACCCTTCACACGCTCCGTGGCCACACAGGGGGGCTCCACCGACGACCCCCAAAGGAGGGCCCGCATGCTGCCCCGCGCCCCCAGTGTTGGCACACACTGGTATGTTTCGTGGCCGCCTCATCAGGAGGTTCGCTGATGGCTCCAGCAGGAGGGCCCGCATGCTCTCCCCCCCCTCCACCCACCCCCGCCCCCCACCATCACACACGCACACCCTCTATGGCAGGCCCCCTTAGACGCTTCGTGGCCCCCCTAAGGAGCTTCACCGACTACTCCACTCGGAGGGCCCGCCTGTACCCCCACCGACTTCACACCCCTCGTGCTCTGTGGCCCCACAAGGGGCTCCACCAATAGCTCCAGTCGGACAGCCCGCATGCTGCCACCCCCGCCACACCCCGGATGGCACACCCCTCACTCACTCACACCGTGGCCCCATTGTGAGCTCAACCGGCAGCTCCCCTCGGAGGGCCCGCACGCCAGCAAAAAACACACACATTGACGCGCCCCTCCGTGGCGCGCTGCCTGTGGGGAGGGGCCGCATCCGACGCCATTCGCGGAGTGCGTGCCCCCTCTCCTTCGTTGGGCCTGCCTTGCGGGACTCGCAGCTGCATGTGGCTGGGTCCTTCGCCAGGAGCACTGTTCCCCACATTCTCAGTTGGGTCCACCCCTTACGCAGATCGGCGGGGTCTGGGTGCAAACACACAGAGGATTTGCCACAGTTCTGAAACTCGCTGGCACCCCTCACACAGATCGGCGGGGTCAGGGTCCAAAAGCACGAGGGATTTGCCACATTTCTAACATCCAGTGGCACCCCTCACGCAGATCGGCGGGGTCAGGGCGCAAAAACGCAAGGGATTTGCCACATGTTTGAAATTCGGCGGCACCCCTCACGCAGATCCGTAGGGTCAGGGTCCAAAAACACAGCGGATTTGCCACATTTCTGAAATTCGGTGGCACCCGTGGAGCAGATCCGTAGGGTCAGGGTCGAAAAACAAACAGGTCCCGACACTGCTTCACGGCGGCGCCCAGACCTCATGATTTAGCTCTTGCATCTCCCATTATCCGAGACAGGGGGCCGGCGGCATGGGGCGAAGCCCGTACGGATGAATTATTATTATTACTATTATTATTATTATTATTGTTATTGTTAATTCGCCGGCCCAACGGGCCAGAGGCGTGCTAAGATCTCGGGTAACTGCTAAATAATACTTCTACTTCGCGCGCGCGGGGCGGCCCCTGGGGGTCCCCGGACGAAAAGTACCCCGGGCGATCCCCAGACTCGGGTCAGAGATGGTTTTCCTCCTGGGCGCCGCCCCCGTGGCCCTCCAGAGAGCCCCAAGAAGGGCCACGAGGCTGCCAAGAGCCCTCCAATATGGTTCAAGAGTGCTCCGAGATGCCACACGATCGTTCCAAGACGCCCAAGATGGCCCCCAGACGCCCCAAGAGGCCTCCAAGAGCACTCCCCAGAGGGTCCCAAGAGGCAAAATTCATTATTTTTCTGTAGGTACTGGGCAGATTTTGGCGTGTCCATCTTTTCGGCTTCCAGACGCCCCAAGACGGCCCAAGAGGCCCCCAAGATCGCCCCAAGAGGGCCCAAGAAGCTCCCAAGAAGGCTCCAAGATGGCCCAAGAGGGCTCCAAGACGGCCCCAGAGGCATCCAAGACGGCCCAAGAGGGGCCCAAGAGGGCCCCAAGCGATGCCCCAAAGGGGGAACACAAAACAAAACTTCGAGCCCTCGGCCTTAAGAAGCCCCCAGGAGGCCTCAAGAGGCCCCTGAGAGGCCCCAAAAGCCCCCAAGAGGCCCTCAGGAGGCCCCCAAGCGACGCTGAAGAGGCCCCCCAGCGGCCCCAAGAGGCTCAGTCATGCGAAATTGGCTGGCGGAATGAACGAAGCGACTCAATAATACTATTATAACAAGCATATAAATATGTGTGCATGTATGTACATATGTATCTATACATGTGTACAGATATACACATACATGTGTGAACAAACACATGTAAATGTAGACGTATAGTTTTTTTTTTTCCTCACGTCGACCACGGCGGCTGGATGCCTCGACAACTTCGCATGGCCGCTGCCCCCGGCCATGGAGGGAAGCCGGGCTGCGTGGGCAGCCGACCACCAAAGAATACGGAGACGCTATCAGGCACGTGGCAGGGACAGCGAAAGAGCACCCGAGACAATTATTGCCCGGGGGCCAGGGCGAAAATGTTACTTAAGACCGGGTTTTTCGAAGGCACGAGGAGGAGGGGGAGGAGGAGGAGGAGGAGGAGGAGAAGGAAGGAGAGCACTGAGCAAAGCCCTGAGGGTCATCGCCAGCCGACTCCTGTGAGTCTGGGCGCCCCGCTGACCAGAAGAAGGCGTGCTCCCAAGGTGTCGCGCTCATTGGCGAGTCAGTACATTACACGCGGGAAGAAATGTGATGGGCAGCGACCACGGACGACAACGACGAGGAGCGGAGGCGAGGAGGGGGGAACTAACTCAGCTTTGCCACACTGCGGCCACGAGCGATGCGAGGCGAGGATGCGCAGCACAAGCTTCCCTAGCGTACTGCCACATGGCCTCCCACGCGTTGGAGGTGGCCCCGTGGCGCGCCGCTGTGGATGCCGCGTAAACGCAATACACCGCCAGGGCACGGCGAGCGATAGCGCTCGCCGTGTCTTCGGAAAAACGGGGGGAGAGGAGCAGAAAGTGAGACCAGCGCTCGCCGGGTGGAGGGGCAGTCAGCGCCAGCTGCCTGCGCCCGAACTCCGCGACCCTGGAGCAGTGGATGTAGTGCTCGACGCTGTCCTCCCCGTGTCCGCATGCAAACGCGCAAGGCGCTGGCCTCTGCATGCGGCGCCCTGTAGTCCAGCCGTTGCACATGACGCGGTAGACCGATGCCCACACCCGCGGGGGCACCAGCGGCGCCAGGCCGCGGAGCGCGAGCGTCGCGCGCCCCAAGCGGCGCCCACGGAGCACCGGGAGTTGGAGACGAGAAAGGCAGCGGTCGAGGTGGCGGACGGCGCCCTGCGGGCGCGGGTCCGCCAATATAATCCGACACCGCTTCTGCCATTCAGACCTCGGCGCTGGTTCCGGCGCGTCGCCCTGAACCAATGCCTCGACCGACACTCTGGCTGCTGCTGCCTTGTGTTCCAGATGGCCGCGCGCGTTTGTGAGGTTCGTGAAGAAATTCTGGCCGTACCAGCCGCTCCAGGCAACCAAACGATCCAAATGATCAGAATCCAGTCGGAGTGCGTCCAAAAAACGAGAACGACGACGTACCTGAAGTCCTCCATGAGCTGTGTTCTCCCATCGATATACCCGGCACTTGGCCGCGATCGCCACGGATGCTGCGTCGACCAATTCCGCGTGAAACCCCAAGGACCGCAAGCTCCGGAGCGCCGCTGGGGTAGTCCAGCAGCGGGGGCCGGGGAAGAGGAGGACGCATGCCTGCTGCTCCACAACGTCCCAATTGGACGGCAACTGGTCCAGCTGCAGGAGGAAGGAGAGCACGGGGAAGATGTAGGTGCGGTAAGCCAAGAGGGTCAGCATCATTCCGCAGCCGATGCCCCGCCACACCTTGGCCCGGGAAATGAACTTGTCCAAAGCCTTTGTCCACGAATGTTCACCGCGTTCCGGACCGACGACGAAGCCCAAGTAAGTTGCGTACCGGCGGATGGTGAAGTCGCTCCACGTGGGCGCGGCCACTTGGAGACGCTCTCTCACGCGGTCGGTTGATTCCAGTGCCAATGGAACCCAAACCGTTTTTCCGTGGTGTAGTCGCAGCCCCGACAGTCGCTCGTACTCGTCGAAAGTGTGCTCAAGAATGGAAGCGCCCCCCGTCCCGCGAACCAGGCCGACGGCCAGGTCGTCGGCGTAGGCGCGAGGAACGGCGTCTGGGATGAGGCGCGGGAGCCTCCGCAAAAGAACATCCGAAAGCACGGCGAAGAGGAGCGGGGAGAGGGGGCAGCCCTGGCGGACCCCCGCGGTGAGCTCGAAGCCGTCGAAAGTGGACCCGCCGTGCGCGATGCGGCACCTGTTGTTCCGATACAGCGCTTGGATGAAATGCACGCACCATGGCGGCCAACCCCGGGCCGCGATGACATCAAGAAGGAACTCCTGGCTGACGCTCGGGAAGGCCGCCTCGAAATCGAAGAAGACCATGGCGGACGAGTCGTACTTAAGCGAGTGGTGGAGCATGAACTCTTCGACGTCCATGAGGTTTGCAAGCATCGAGCGCCCATGCAGGAACCCCCGCTGGCAATCGGAGACCCCTGGGGCAACGGTGGGCTCAATGTACATGCGGACCGCGCTGCATATAATTCTGTCGTCTGTATTCGTGATGTTCAAGGGCCGCATGTTCGAGGGGACATAGAACTCGATGCCGTCTCCAGTAATGCCTGATGGCTTCTTGGGGAGGAAGACCATGGAGCTCTCATTGAACGAGTCCCAGTCCGAGTCCATCAGCGCCGCGCCACTGGGGCTGGCGATGGCCAGGAAGGCCTCGTACAGAGCTCTCGTCGCGAAGCCGCCTAAAGCACGCCATGCGCGGAACGGGATCCCATCTGGTCCAGGAGAGCTGTTGCTCGTGTGCTGGACCGCCCGCTCGAAGATCTCGAAGGGCACGGCGACGCCGGGCACGCGCTGGCGGTCTGCCAGCGAGGCGCGCGAGGCCTCGTCTGCAAGCCAGGTGCGGCGCAAGGTTGTGTCCGTTTCCCGTCTGCGGAAGACCCCAGACCAATGGTCGCGCAGAACTCCTGCGATGTGCTCTGGTGATGTGCTCACGTGGCCAGCGCTGTCACTGAGCGCGTAGTGGGAGCAGCCGCGGCCAGGAGACAAGCGTGTAAGAAGACGATGGTTCTGATGTCGCCGCCGCGCCGCCTGCGCATCGGAGAGGTCCTTCAAGTCGGCGTGGAGCCTGCCCAGCTCGTCGATGGCGTGATCGCGAGCAAGGTCGGCAGCGTGAACTCGGACCAGCCGGAGGCGACGGCCAGGGCTCGTGTGGAAGTCGTAAGGGTTGTCCACGAGATCCTTCAAGATGGGATACCGCTGGATGCATTGGCTGACGCCGCCTGCCGAGCCCTTTTCTGAGGCGCGGAGGAATTTCATGGTGACCCCGAGGCGATCCTCGTGCGCAAGCGGGCCCGGCGGACCCGAAGCCTCGAAGCCGAAGTTCTTGGCGGCCTCGCGCATGGCCCGCTTGAGTAGCACGAGCCGCCGTGGAGGCGAGGCGGAAGGTTCGCTGTCCAGCATCTCCTGCCACGCGAGCGCCACTCTGCGCGGCCATTCGGGGTGATCCAATGTGAGGTCCGATATCGGGGCGCATGAGTCGGGTTCCCGCTGCGGCAGTGAACGCCGAAAGCTGACGGCTCTATGTCGAGATAGCTCTGACTGCCACTCCAATGCAGCGCAAGTTAGCTTCCGATCAAAGCCTTCCACCACGGCCTGATTACAGTAAATGCGGTCCAGGCGCGATCGGGACGAAGGCGAAGCATACGTCATGTCGGGCTGGTGGAGCTCGTGGAGGCCATGAGGAAGTCCCAAATGTCGGTGCCAACTTGCCTCTTCCCCGCGATCCCGCCCACCCGTGACGGCAGCGGTGGAGGTGCAGCGTCTGTCGCAAACGTCCGCAACATAGTTGAAGTCTCCTCCGAGGATCGTGAGAACCTGGTCCCTGGAAGCGATGTGCCGCGAAAGCCGCCGTCGGAGAGCGTCTCGGAGTTCGGGGAAAGATGGGGGGCGGCCCAGGTGAGACAGCCCTGCAGCCTCGATGTCTTCTGGGGAGGCGGCAGCACCAGTGTGGAAGTATACGACAACAACGTCCAGATTGCCACTGGGGCCTCGCAGATGTAGTACTGCAGCACGACCCGGGAGAATGATCTGCCAGTGAGGGTTCGCCGCAAACTGCTTGAGGAAGGAGTTCTTGATCGTCACCCCCACTCCTGCCCTGGCGGGCGTGGGGCCTGGTGACCACCAAGATGTGCAAGCATCGGGATTTCTCCACACCTCATTGCCTCCATTGGACCCGTGCGTCTCGGTCCAGAGGCCGATATCGTGGGTGGCCATCAACTTCCTCACGTAGGTCGCCTTCCGGCGATGACGGCCGGGGTCCGCGGCGAAGAGGGCCTGGGTGTTCCATGTGATGACGGAGACATCGCCGAGGTACGGGCTGTGGGCGAGCGAAGGCTGACCTCTGGGTGCGCGAGTGCGTGGAGGCAGCGCTGCAGGGAGCGCACTGGGGCGCAGCGCGCGCCGAAATGCGTTCTGAAGCCGAATCTGGACCGGAACGTCCGTCATGGAGTCGTCGGGCAGCTGATCCATTGAGGTAGAAACATGATGAAAAAGATGAAGAAGTGCAAGTGCAGGTAGCTGAGTAGATGTACGCCGAGAACGTTGAGAAGAAGGTGACGAAGAACAAGACGACGTGATATGCCCACTCATGCTGTAGGGAGCGCGGCGCTGGGAGCCCGGGCCGGCACTGGCCGGTTGGAGCTCGAAGGCGACGTCCACGAGCCAACATGAGGTACCCTTGCAATCAAAAATCTGAATTCCATAGCTCGTCGAAGGCGCTGAGGAGGTCACGCGGCGGCGGGGGAGGCAGCCCCCTGCCCCCCCCGCCGCCTGTTTCCCGGCAGGGTGCGAGAGTCCTGGACGTCGTTGGACACCCTGATGGCCAAGAAGTCCACGCCGACCTGGAGCACCTGACCATGCAACGAGCGATACACCTGCTGGACATCTTCCTGTGAGTGTAGGTACACGCGTGCGCGGCCAGGATGAGCGCTAGCGTCCCGAGAAGCAAGATGGACCCACTGTCCTGGCCGTGGCACCTGACCTGGGGGGGCCGCGGAGAGCGCCAGGCCCGTGGCAGCACAGACGTGAGACAGGAGCTGATTGATGACCACGCTTCCGTTGTCCCCGGTTTCCCCGGCGACGGTGATCTCCGCGATGTTGTCACACATGGTGGAGCTGCGACCGCCGCGCCCCCGCTGGCGACGGGAGGCAGCGAGGGCGAGAGCAGTAGCGGATGGAAATGCCCAGGGACGGCCGCCATAGCTGCTGGCCTTGTGCTTAATGTTCGTGATCGCGTGGTTCTCATCCTCCTGGAGGCCCCTGTCGAGCAACGCGGTCCACGACTCCACGGAGGCCGACGTGAAGACGAGCACCCTGTCGGATGAGAGGAAGATCGCTTGTGAGCACAACGGCCACGCACGGACCAGTCCCAGCGGGCTGTTGCACTCCACCAAAATGTAGACGTATAGTACACGTAACTATAAAAGGGCGTCCGGGGCCCCGGGCCCGGGGTTGCACACTTTCCCTCCCAATGCCGAATTTAGCCCCCGCGATTCGGGGCCCGTTTTCGGTTCCCGGCAGGGTGTATTTCAGTCTCCCGGTGGGTGATACACGCAATGGCCTTAGGCATGCTCGTATCGAAGCCAAGAGACCCTCGAGCCCGCCATGACTTGCCCACAACTGCACAAGAGGCTCCCAAGACCCCTCAAGCGAGCCCCAAGAGCGCCCCAAGAGGGCCCCGACGATCCACAGGGTTCCAAGCGGCCCACGCGGCCCCCCCCGATCGCTCCAAGAGGAGCCCAGGAGGGCCCCAAGACAGCCCACGAGGCCTTCAGGACGGCCCGAGAGGCGCCCAAGACGGCCAAATAGGGCCCCAAGAGCGGCCCAAGATGAGAAACTCGGATTGGAAGCTCGAGCCCTCCGCCTCAAGAGGTTCCCGAGATTCCCAGCAGGCTCACAGGAGGCCCCCAGCAGACCACAAGATGCCACCATTACGTCCAGAAAGAAACCACAAGAGGCCGTCAAACGGCCTCCAAGAGGCCCCAAGAGGCTAAAACAAATGTGTCGAAGAGACTCCCAGGAGGCTTCCCAGAGGACTCCAATAGCCATCCAAGAGGCCCTTGACCCACAACCCAGGCGCGGTGGCAGGAGGGGCCAGCCTTGCGCGTCCAGGCAGCACGCTGTTGCCCTCTGTTGTCTACTCCTACGCCCCCGCCTGAGTCGTAGGTCGGTGCGTTTCCGGAAGAGGCGGAGGAGGAAGCAAGAGGGGGCGAGGTAAACACGAAGAAGTTGAAGAGGCCGCCAAATCAATCCAACGATGACATGGGCCGCCGCGGCGACGGCGGCGCGTGGAGGTCGAGGAGGAGTAGGAAGAGAATAACGATCTGGAGGAAACGGAGGAGGAAGGTGGAGAACGAGGAGGAGGAGGATGAGGAGGAGGAGGAGCCGCATCAGGAAGGGCCGACAGGACGAAAGGGACGAAAGCGGAAAAAGGAAGACAAGGAGGAGCTCGAGGCGAGAAGCGAGGAGCGAGGAGCAAGAAGGTTGGTTGGTTCTCCTTCCTGGTTTCCAGTCGAGTCTCCACTCTCTGATTCTCTGTCTCTTGTCTCCTCGGGTATCCCCCCGTTCTGTCCTGAGGCGCCCCCCTGGCCGCGAGACGCGGTCGAGTATGTATTTATAGATATGTACTAGAACCATGCGCGCGCGCTTCGCACGCGCTTCGGTTCTGGCGCAGTCCAAGCCAATCACACAAGATCGGATGAGCATGGACGTCATTCCGCAAGGGTCACCAGATGGGAGCGTACTTCCTGGTGGATGCTTCAGGAAGCGCTGAATAAGGTTCCAGGAAGTCGCGCAAGGCATACAAGAGGACCCAGGGCAGCTTAAGGGGGGATGCCCAAGAACCCCTAAGAGCCTGGCAAAACCATGCTGGGAGTCTTTTTGTTGATGCCTTTGAGGGACGTTCTCGGGAGGGCTCTTGGAGGTTTCTCTGGGGGGGGGCATCTCCAGTTTTTGCTGGGAGGTCGCCTAGTGACCTCTTACGACTTTTGGGGGGCGCTTCGGGGGCCTCCCCGGGGCTCTTGGCATCTGGGCTTGAAATGTCGCTTTGGATCCCCGATCTTGCCCCTATAGTGGGGCCGTCTTGAGGGCCTCTTGGGCCGTCGTGGCGGCATCTGGGGCCGTCTTGGCGCTCTCTTGCGTCGTATTCGGGCCGTCGCGGGAACCTCTTGGGCTGTCTTGGTGCTGTCTTGGGGACTTCTTGGGCCGTCTTGCAGCGTTGGAAAAACGAAGCAACATGAGGGAGGCGGAGAGAGGAGGGCGTGAAGGAGAGACAAGGTGGAGGGAGAAGGGACAATGACGCAGCGGGGAGGAGGCAATCAGAGAGGAAGAACAAGGAAGTGAAACGGGAGACGCAGGAGGACCAAGAACAGGATAAACAGACAAGGATAACGGACACGGATAATGGAAAGACTGGGATGGAGAAAACGAAACCATACTCTTGGGCACGCACGCCAGAAACTGGGACAAGAGGAAACGGGGGGGATGAGTGGGAGAGGAAAGAGGACGTGGAACAGGAGGCGCAAGAGAACCAAGACCAAGTGAGAGATCCGGGAGAAACAACAGCGAGGGGTGGGGGAGACGGGAACGCAGGAGGGAGGCCGTGAGGCAAAGGCGTGAAGGAGAGACGAGCAACAGAGAGGGAACCTGACGCGGCGGGGGGGAGAGAAGAGAAGAGACGAGAGGTGGACGTGGAAGGGGAGGCGCAACAGAACCAAGAGCAATCCGCCGGCCCCCTTGTGGGGCCACCAGGCTGTAGGCCCGTGATTCGCAGTTTCCTGTACCAGTCGTAGGTTGTAGTTTCCAGTGTTACAGTTCTGCTTCTTGCTGGTTACTGTAACTAGTTGGTTGACCGCGCGCGCGAGGGGAGGGGAGGCCCAAACCAGATTTTTAGCGTCTCCTGGGCGCGTTGTCTGAATTGCTGGGGGGGCTCGAAATCGTAACTAGTTGATTGACCGCGCGAGGGGGGGGGGAGGCCCAAACCAGATATTTAGCACCTCCTGGGCGCGTTGTCTGAATTGCTGGGGGAGCTCGAAATCGACACCACTCACACAGATCGGCGGGGTCAGGGTCCAAAAACATAGGGGATTTGCAGCATTTCTGAAATTCGGTGCCACCCCTCGCGCAGATCCGCGGGGTCAGGGTCCAAAAACACATGGGATTTGCCACATTTCTGAGATTCGGTGCCACCCCTCACGCAGATCCGCGGGGTCAGGGTCCAAAAACACATGGGATTTGCTACATTTCGGAAATTCGGTGCCACCCCTCACGCAGATCCGCGGGATCAGGGTCCAAAAACACATGGGATTGGCCACATTTCTGAAATTCGGTGCCACCCCTCACGCAGATCGGCGGGGTCAGGGTCCAAAAACACATGGGATTTGCCACATTTCTGAAATTCGGTGCCACCCCTCACGCAGATCCGCTGGGTCAGGGTCCAAAAACATAGGGGATTTGCAACATTTCTGAAATTCTGTAAAATTCGGTGCCACCCCTCACGCAGATCCGCGGGGTCAGGGTCCAAAAACACACGGGATTTGCTACATTTCTGAAATTCGGTGCCACCCCTCACGCAGATCCGCGGGGTCAGGGTCCAAAAACACAGAGGATTTGCCACATTTCTGAAATTCGGCGCCACCCCTTATGCAGATCCGCGGGGTCAGGGTCCAAAAACACATGGGATTTGGCACATTTTTGAAATTCGGTGCCACCCTTCACGCACATCCATCGCAAGGCGTGGTAACCCAAACTGCGAGAACTCCCTCGGCCCTTTAATCGCAAGGTGTGGTAACCAAGCCCGTAAACCATACACGTCTTACCAATCGCCAGGTGTGGTAACCCCTCTTGTGATCAGTTGGTTTTGCTGATTGCGAATCGGCTTCGCATGAAGTTTCGATACTGCTTCACGACAGCGCCAAGGCCTCATGACTTAGCTCTTCCATGGCCCATTCTCCGAGAGAGGGGGCCGGCGGCAGGGGGCGAAGCCCTTACGGATAACAAAAGATCAAACATAACGGACTACACGGGATGGGGAAAACGGAAACGCACTCGGGGGCATGCCAAAGCCTGGGACGGGAGGATACAAAGGGGGGAGGACCTTGAAATCAAACATTGAAGAAGATCCCTTTCTTTCCAAGCTGGGCCTCCCACCATTGATTGGGGCAGGATGCTGGGTGAGGGCGGCGGAGGGAGGAAGGAGGGAGGGAGAGATGATGATGAGGGAGGGGGGAGACGGACACGCATGAGGGAGGCAGGGAGAAGAAGGCGTGAAGGAGAGACGAGGTGGAGAGAGGATGGACAGGGACGAAGCGGGGAGGAGGGAGGCGCAGAGGAAGCAGAAGGATGTGGGACGTGAGGCGCAAGAGAAGTGCAAGAGAGAGAGAGAGAGAGAGCAACCAGAATGGACAACCAGGGCTGGGAAACACAGATATGCACTCGGGGGCACGCGGAAACCTGGGACAGGAGGGAACGTA